TCCTCTTCTTTCTTCTTCTAGTTGAGCTTTGATCATTCAGTCATTGAAGCCAAGTCAAGTGGGTATTATCTGTAAGTGTGGGTGTTCTTGTGTATAGGGTACTTTCAATATTCTTTCCTAACACAATAGTTCAAATACATCAATTCTTCTCCAGTGTTCCTTATTCATTGTTCAACTTTCACATGCATTGAGGAAGGTTGTGTAGAAAGACAAAATTAAGAGGACATTGTAGGTAGAGGAGTACCATGAGCAAAAGCATAGAGACACAAAAAGTATGGAATATTTGAGGGTCCTCAAGCAAATCAAAATGACTGGAGTTGTGAGGGTAAGGGCAAGCGGAACGACTGACACAATGTTGAAAAGAGAGACAGTATGTGAACAGCCTTGAATGTGAAAGAAAAAAAAGATGAAAAACTACTATTTCTTAAGTACCTTCTATGTCGTTGAAGTGTTCACATAAAATGATTTCATTTAATCCTCATTTAAATACTGTAAGGTAAGCATTCTTATCCTTACTTTTCCCAGGAGAAAATAGCTGCTCAGGGAAATTAAAAAATTGCTCAAGGTCACAATCAAATTCAAATCCATTGAGTTGATTCTGACTCATAGTAACCCTATCAGGCAGAGGAAGACTAGCTCACAGGGCTTCCAAAGCTGTCATTTTTACTGAATCAGACGGCCAGATCTTCCTTTGCGGGGCTGGCTGGTGAGTTCCAACCTTTCAGTTTGCAGTGGAGTGCTTTAACCACGGCACCACCAGGACTCCCTACAAAGGGTCACACATCTTATAAACAATGGGATTCCAATGTCCCTCCCACATTGGTGGGGCTGGGTTAGTGTGCTGCCAGTTGATGACAATGAATGGGCTGCTAACTGTACCAGCCACTCCTCAGGAGAAAAGATTAGGCTGTCTGGTTCCATAAAGATTTACAATCTTGGAAACCCTATATTGTTATTGTTAAGTGCCATCGAGTCAGTTCCAACCCATAACGACCCTGGATAGGGTTTCCAAGGAGCGGCAAGTGAGCTTGAACCGCCAACCTTGCAGTTTAAAGGGCTTTGCAGTCTGGCGCATTAACCCACAGCGCCACAATATAGCAGTTCTAGTCTGTCCTATCAGGAAGGTATGAGTGAAACTACTCCATGGCTGTGGGTCTTGGTTTATAGTGTCTGGCAGATTAGCAAAGAAAAAGAGAGAGTCCAAAAAGCAAAGCCAAGTGCAACAAATTAAAGAGCTAAATGGTCTTAGGTTGCCAGAGCCATTAGAGTTTAGTCTACAAAGCCAAACAAAACTTCACATAGTAATTGGTCCAAAAGTCAAGTTAATCACAAGTAGTAGAGCTTGATCAAAGAGAAGGCAGAGGAAGGCCAGGAAACTTTTGAAGTGGGCAAGCAACCAGCTAATCCTTAAGCCTCCATCCAACCTAGCTGACATTCAGTTCCTGTGGACTCGGAGATGAAAAAGAGGTAAAGTGATAGGCCCTCTAAAGAATAGCACGACTGAAAATGTTTTGTGGAAAGACTAGTCTAGTCCTTCTGTGGGTCTTGGAGTTTCAGCACATAGCACCTGCTTGCTTCTTTCTGTCTCCAGCTGCCACAAGGAGAGGCGATGCCATTATGTCAGCACATCTGCAGTAGATGGTGATGATTAAGGGCTCTAGTTTCCTGATCAAGAGGAGCAAGCAGACATAGAGCACCAAACCCAATAACCTGAAGGGCTGCAACTTTCCGCACTACAACAGGTGGATTCACTTCAAGACTATGGGCATGGAGCCAGCCATTAATGGCAAGAGGTAGTGGTGGTGCTGAAGCTGAGATGGGGCCAGCAGATTACCACCAACAGAATGCCCAGGCCACACTCAATATCATCCACCTCCCCATCTGCAAGAGCAAGCACCACCAGGATCTGCACATGGCTGTCTTTCACAGAGCCAGTGTGTTGCCAGAAGCTGATAATGAAGAGAAAGCAACCCGGAGGGTCCCACCAAGAGCTCCTCCCAGAGCCTAAAAATGCACAAACCCTCCTTAGTGCCTCTTTGATCTGGATCTTCAGTGGGGAGTAAAGAGAGTTTGGTCTCCTTCAATAGATTACACTTCCCTCTGCCAAGTGGCGAGGAACACTATTAGCACAATTGTTAAAGTGCTTGGCGCCCAAGCGAAAGTCAATGGCAGCCCTTTGGTTGGGTGACTATGCATGGAGGGGATTGTAACCATGGCAATGAAACGATATACGATAGGATGAATGTAAAACTAATGTTCTTCCATGTAAACTATCACATAATTCACAATAAAACAGTAAAAAAAAGAAAAAAAGTCAATGGCAGGGTGGCAGTCTGCTTCTATAAAGATTTGTTGTTAAGCGCCATGGAATCAGTTGTCACTTCAGACTCATAGCAAGCCTGAATAGGTTTTCTGAGGAGCAGCTGGCAGGTTTGAACTGCCGACCTTGTGGTTTGCAGTCTAGCACTCATCCTACAGCACCACACCAGATTTATTGCTTTGGAAACTCTATGAGGCAGTTCTACTTTGTCCTATAAGATAGATAGCTGTGAGTCGGAATCAACTAAGTGCAATGGGTTTGGATTGGGTTTTTATAGAGTAGTACATGAAGAGGACCTGCTTGCTACTTGTACTTGTGGAATTACACTTAATTTGCATTGTGGTCGTGGTGGTGGTTATGTGCCATGAAATCGTTTCTGACTCATAGTGACCCTGTATAGAGTTTCCAGGGCTGTAAATTTTTACAGGAGCAGAAAATCTCATCTTTCTTCTGTGGAACAGCTGGTAGTTTCAAACTGCTGACCTGGAGGTTAACAAACAGATTTGTAACCACTAAACTTCCAGAGCAACTAATTTGCATCCTAGTGGGGGAAAAAAATACGAAGATTTCACAAAGGAACACCACATATACACCTAGAAACTCAAGGAAGCAGGAGCTGTAAAGTAGTCCAAGCCAGTCCAGGTGCATATATTAAGTGCTTCCTTAGTAAATCTTCTCACTGGAACCATATTTTACGAGTCATTGTTTCATTTAAGCTCACAACCCCTTTGTGTAATAAGTTATTATCCCCACCCCACCTCTCTACTTTATTATTTTTTTAATAGATGAGGAAACTAAGGGCAGGGCAAGGAAAGTGACTGTTCAGTCACATTGTTGGATGGAAGTCAGAAGGTCATAACTGGAAAATAAATTCAAGTTTTTTGTTATGCAAATTCTGTGCCTCTTTCTTGCTATGAAAGAGCAATGAGTCAGGGACGGTATCACAGAGGAGGTGGTACTTGAACTGCCCAAGTGGCAGGGAACCAAGGAAGAGACAGGATCCTCGCTGCAAAGGCACAGAGATGCAACACGGCTTGCAAAAACATAGTTCCTGGAATGTGAGCTTTTAAGGACAGAAAGGTCCAGCCCATAGAATGGGGCCTTTGGCTTAGCAGGCGCTGAATAACTATTGGTTGAAAAATGAGTGTTTGAAGTACAGATTCCATATAGGAGAGAAGCTGGTGGCCAGACTGGGAAGTTAGGCAGGATTCAGAAGACGTAGAGCCTGTACACAAAATGGAAGGCAGGAAAGGCAGGAGAGGGACCAGGTGTATGTGCAGTGATGGAATGAAGAAAGAACCAGCTGGAAGGGGGTTCTAGGAAAGCGAAGAGGAAAGCTTGAAGTAGGGAAGAGAAAGGACAAGGTCAAGAAACATTTGGAGCTAGGCGCCACAAAACCTGAGAACACCCTTGAAGGAAAGGGGTGACATGTACCCATATGCAAGCAGGAAAACAGGAACTTTGGAAAGACCGAGAATGATGGCTATGCAGGGAACAAGTGTGGGTGGTGGATACTCCCACCCGGTGTGTGCAATCTCAGTCGTCACTCCGGTTGCAGGCCGGAGAGGGTGGGGCCACCGGCCTGGAAAAGATATTAGCAACCTGCTAGCACCCGGTTAACAAAGGCGGGACTACAACTCCCAGCATGCTCGGCCCGGTGGGGTGACGGCGGGCGGTGGCTGTGCTGCACTGGACTGGTGGGCGCAGGACCTAGGTCGGCGCGGGAGCCTGTCATTACTGAGGGGTCCGCGGGGTTGCGGGGCTGATGATGCCCCGCTCTCCCCAGCATACCCTCTGCGCCCGGCTCGAGTCTCGGGCCCTGCGGCCCCGCCCCTTGCCCCACCCCAGCCGAGAGGCTTAGCCCGGGCCGCAGCGCGGCGGCAACATCACTCTCGCCGCCGCTGCTCCGCCCCATCCCCTTCTGTTTTTCTCTCATTCTCGGGTGGCGGCGGCGACGGTGAAGGCGGAGGCTGAAGCAGCAGCTGCAGCAGCAACAGCAACCGCGTTGGCTGCAATGAATGATCCCTCAGCTGGGGAGGAGGACTCCAGGTGAGCCTCTGCCCTCGGGAGAGCCGGGACCCTCGGCTGTCCAGGACCCACAGTCTCCGCTATGGATCCCTAGAGGAAGGAGGAGGCGGAGAAGACAGCTCTGCTGCCCACCCCCATCCCATTTTCTTCTTCCTTTATCTCATTGTTGCCGTGCTGTTTACGCAGCGCTCCCTCTGCCCCAGCATGGGGCGGGCTCCAGTCACTGCCTTCCATCCGGCAGTGTACCCGCTGTTCCCACGGATGCCAAGGGATTCTGCCTAATTCTACCTCCCTAGCCGGTGCTGCGAGGACCGAAGAGCAGTGGAGGCCCGGACTGCAGTAGCGGCGGGGCCACCTCCCAGCATCCCCACCCTAGGAAGCTGCATGCAGATAGAAGAGCGGCGCCTGGGGGCTGGGCTGGCCCCGCGGATCCGGACCTAGGGAGGAGGACAGAAAGACCTCCCAGGCTGCTAAGGGGGGCCGGGACAGGAAAAGCAGAACAGCAAGATGGCCAGTAAAACCAAGGCCAGTGAGGCTCTCAAGGTGGTGGCCCGGTGCCGCCCCCTCAGCCGGAAGGAGGAGGCTGCTGGTCATGAGCAGATCCTGACCATGGATGTAAAGCTGGGCCAGGTGACCCTGCGCAACCCCCGCGCTGCCCCGGGGGAGCTGCCCAAGACCTTCACATTTGATGCCGTGTATGACCCCAGCTCCAAGCAGGCAGACCTCTATGATGAAACTGTGAGGCCGCTGGTAGACTCAGTGCTTCAGGGTTTCAATGGCACGGTGTTTGCCTATGGCCAGACAGGTACTGGCAAGACTCACACCATGCAGGGTACCTGGGTGGAACCTGAGCTCCGTGGGGTCATCCCCAACGCCTTTGAGCACATCTTCACCAACATCTCCCGTTCCCAAAACCAGCAGTACCTGGTCCGGGCCTCCTACCTGGAGATCTACCAGGAGGAGATTCGAGACCTGCTCTCCAAGGAGCCAGGCAAGAGGTTAGAGCTGAAGGAGAATCCTGAGACAGGTGTCTACATCAAGGACCTCTCCTCCTTTGTCACCAAGAATGTCAAGGAGATCGAGCATGTGATGAACCTGGGGAATCAGACCCGAGCAGTGGGCAGCACACACATGAACGAGGTCAGCTCCCGTTCCCACGCCATCTTTGTCATCACGGTGGAGTGCAGCGAGCGTGGCTCTGATGGCCAGGACCACATCCGTGTGGGCAAACTCAACCTGGTAGACCTGGCTGGCAGTGAGAGGCAGAACAAGGCTGGCCCCAACACAGCTGGAGGGACAGCCACACAGTCTTCCGGTGGTAGTGGTGGCAGTGGAGGCAGTGGTGGTGGTGGAGAGAGGCCTAAAGAGGCCTCCAAGATCAACCTCTCGCTCTCGGCCCTGGGCAATGTGATTGCTGCTCTAGCAGGCAACAGGAGCACACACATCCCCTACCGGGACTCCAAGCTCACCCGACTGCTCCAGGACTCTCTGGGGGGGAATGCCAAGACCATCATGGTGGCCACATTAGGGCCAGCTTCCCATAGCTACGATGAGAGCCTCTCTACACTACGTTTCGCCAATCGAGCCAAGAACATCAAGAATAAGCCTCGAGTGAATGAGGACCCCAAGGACACACTGCTGCGAGAGTTCCAGGAGGAGATTGCCCGTCTGAAGGCCCAGCTAGAGAAGAAGGGCATGCTGGGGAAGCGGCCCCGGAGGAAGAGCAGCCGAAAGAAGAAGGCCGTGTCAGCTCCAGCAGGGTACCCTGAGGGGCCAGTAATTGAGGCTTGGGTGGCTGAAGAGGAGGATGACAACAACAACAACAACTGCCCGCCCCAGCCCATTCTGGAATCAGCCATGGAGAAGAACGTGGAGAATTACCTGCAGGAGCAGAAGGAGAGGCTAGAGGAGGAGAAGGCAGCCATCCAGGATGACCGCAGCTTGGTAAGCGAGGAGAAACAGAAGCTGTTGCAGGAGAAGGAGAAGATGCTGGAGGACCTGTGGCGAGAGCAGCAGGCCACAGAACTGCTCGCTGCCAAGTATAAGGTAAGACCCCCAAAGGGAGTGGTGGATTGAAAAGTCCCTGAGAAGTGCAGGAACATCTGTCAGTTTTTGAAGGTCTATAGCCTGGCTCTCCTGAAGCAGCCAGACAAATTCCTGTGATACCACACTGATAGGCAGAGCCTCTAAGGATGGTTTAGAAGGGATACACATACACACACACTCATTAAGTAAAGCAGGCAGGTGGTCTGTCAAACCAGTGGGTTTGGGTGGTCTCACCTGCTGCCTGGCTGTTCTACTGGTGGCCCCATTATCAGTCAGGTCAGTGGGATGAACTGGCAGGAAATTCAGTTTCATATAAGTGTGCGTTCTTCTCCTGACTAGACACCTCCCCTGCAACTTCCTCCCTCTATATCACCTTCAGACCTCACAGTATTTTAATACTCTCTGACATTTGGATAGCACCGCACTGTTCACAAAATATCCTCATATGCATGATTTCATCTGTTCCTGACAGTAGTCGTCTAGGTTGGTCATTCTTGAATCTCCATTTTACGGAAGAAGGGCTGAGACTCAAGAGAAGTGACATGTCCAAGATTCCATTCTACCAGGTGACAGAGCTGAGCTAGAACCCATGAGCCTCATGCTCATTCAGTTCTTGGGTGGCAGAGTGAGACCAGGAGTGAATCCTGCTCCCTGTGAAAATAGTCTGTTAGGATCATGTGGTAGGGTCCCTTGCTTTGTGTCATTGAAAGGAGATTCAAAGGATCCATCACACAAGAGGTAGGGTGGAAGGAAGACCAAGCTGTATACTGGAGACCTGCAGTCTCTAGAATGACATGTGCAACTTGATTACCTGTCACTGTGGGCCTCAGTTTCCCTTTGTGTAAAATAGAGGGTTGGCCTGGGTGATTTCAGAGAGTCTTCCAACCTGATAATTCTTATCACTTGTGTTAATCTCAATCTGGCTCTACATCCACGCCTCATCCCAGTAAGATCCAATTCCCCACTTCCTTGAGAGATGTCAGGGCTTCAGTATCTTTCTTGAGCTATTCCCTTTCCTATGAGTCTCCTGATCAGCCATGGACCTGGTAAATTTCAGTGTTGCAGATGCCACAACTCAAAACTTCCAGACATTTCAGGTCCCTGGGACCCTCAACTCTGGTAGTGCAGTGGTTAAAACACTTAACTGCTAATCAAAAGGTCATGGTTCAAACCCAGCAGCCGCTCTGTGGGAGAAAGATGTAGTAGTCTTGGAATCCCTTTGGGACAGTTCTGTTTTGTCCTTTAGGGTTGCTGTGAGTTAGAATCAACTCAATAGCAGTGGGGGCCCTCAACACTGGGGATCGGAGGAAAGATGCAAGGAACCATGACCTGCTTACTTGCTGAGAAAAGCAAAGCGTTGCCGTTTCTCATTCCCTCCCAGGAGTGTGGTCTGTGGAGAGGGAAATCCAGGACGAAGACGGAGAACTGCAGCCTCTGAGCTGTTTGCCATTGTCAGGCATGCGAATGCGTTGCTGCACCAGGCGCTCTGGCCATCATGTTTAATATTTAATTCACCTCATGAGCAGCTCAGCAAGGGTTATGACGAGCTGCTTCCTCAAGAAAAAGCTCAAGGGATATCCTGGGAGAAGCTGGACATCAAAGACAGGGCTGTTAGACTTGTCTTTCCCTGGGAGGGAAGAAATCCAGGCACTCTGATGCTTTCAGCTGACAAGTCTTGCATTGGGCAATCTGTCATTGGTTTTATGACCAAAGTCCTCCCCTCCACCCCCAACACACACACAGCCTGCTGGATTGTAAAGGGGGGCAGGGGCCTGGCAACAGAGTGTAAGAAGAGAGGAGAGCATAGAAACATACTTCATCCTCCTGAGAAAATGGGTAGAGGGATAAAGCTACGGTTTCCATTGTTGGGAACTGATTGGCTATGTTCAATGAGGCCCTTGAAGCTAAGGCATTTATGGGGCATAAATAATGGGATAGTCAAGAGATTGGGGCAGCCATGCCAGAATTCTTGCACTAGAAGAAGCCTAGCCCTTGGAACCCCACAATCTCATAGAAGGCAGAGGCTTTGACAAGGAGGCTCTTTGGCTTGCCCAGTGTGACAAAGGTGGCATGAGGGGAACTGAGACTTGTTTAAAAAATTGTGTTCAGTATATATGTAGCAAGACATTTGCCATTTCAACATTCTTCACATGTACACTCAGTGCCATTAATTATGTTCATCATATTGTTCAACCATCTCCCTGTTCTCCCAAGAAAAACTCCCAAGTTTCTCCATGAGTCTGTACCCTATACTTGCTCCTGCCTCTTTCTGTTATATGAGAACCCTGTTACCCTTGCAATTTGATAACCATAGACATTCAGTTTGATACTCTGGAATTGTAATTTCATTTAATCCTTCCAACAAATCCAAAAGATGAGTATTATTATTTACATTTGACAGTTAGGAAAACCAACACTGAGGAAGTCGAATGACTGTCTTGGTCACCCCAAATGATACGTGGCAGAACCCACCCCAAACCTGTGCTCTTTTTGCTTCATCACAGACCCCTTCAGGTTTGAGCACTGAGGCGAAGGCCTCTGGCTCTCTCACCTCAGGCTTCCATTCGCCTAATGAGAAAGAAGCCTTTCATAGCTCCCTGGGGAGTGGGTGCAATGGTCCTTATATGCCAGGCCTTCAGATACAAGCAAAAGGGGAGGGTGTCTGGGAAATTCCAGGAGGGAAATGAGTCCATATCGCGTGACTTTTCATCACACCAGTATAGGACATCTGTCTAGAGAGTGGACCCAAACTTCTCAGTGTCCCTAAGTCACTGCCTGGTTCTGCTTTGGCTGTTTCCAGGATGGTGGAAACAATTTGAGGGCTCTTGAGCAATTCACAGGATAAAGAGGGGAGGAGCACGCTTGAGATAATAGTCTCAGTCCAGCCTGTTTCACAGGGTTGCCTGAAAGATTAAATGAGATCATTAGTATGAAGGCATTTGAAATAAATTGAAAGCAAATAAATGGAGGGCATTAGCAGCCACTGGGTGGCTTCTGTCTGGCCAAGCAGGGGTCCAGTGATCACCAGGATTGACATCTTTGTTGTTAGCACATGCCTTAACTCCTTCCTCACCCTGCTAGCCCAGCTGCCTTGCTGGAATTCTGCAGCAGCTCTGAGAAGAAGGAAGGTCTAGGAGATGTCCCAGGGCAGGAGCTCGGGTCCCTTCTTGAAATTAGCTGAGCTTTTGCTTCCCAATTACAAACTACTCTTCCCCACTCAAACAGTGATGACATATCCTATCCCCATCCCCACCCCCTTCTTCCAGTTCATGACACCCTCTGGGGGCAGCTAAGCGGTAGACAGTTGACACGACCCAGTGCCCTCATTCACTCTCTCTGACTCATTTTACAGTCTGTCTTGCCTGCTTTCCTTCTGAGACTGCCCAGTTCCCTTTGTTCTCCCCTCGCTGTGTACAAACACCAAGCATGTCTCCTGTTTACCTCAGGGGATATAGGATGTGAGGGTATGCAGGTGTGTGAAGACTTGTGATTGTGATCAGCCTTTGACCCTCCCTCCTGTCTTTTATTAATCATTAACAATCCATACTTAAGAAGTATCTAGGGTTAGGGTAGGGGGAGCATGAGAGCATACTAAACCTATCAGGTAGGAAGATGTTAGAATAAGTCACAGACCCATAACAGGTTATTGTACTGCACAGTTAAAGCTCAAATGTTTGCACACAGTTGTTGTTAAGTGCCATCAAGTCAGTTCCAACTCATACTGACCCTATGTACAACAGAACAAGACACCACCCAGGCCCGGCGCCATCCTTATCACTGTTGCTATGCTTGAGCCCATTGTTGCTGCCACTGTGTCAGTCCATCTTGTTAGAGGGTCTCCCTCTTTTTTGCTGACCCCACACTTTTTCAATATCCTTCTCCAGGGACTGGTCCCTCCTAATAATATGTCTGAAGTATGAGAGATAAAGTCTGGCCATCTTGGCTTCTAAGAAGCATTCTGGTTGTACTTCTTCCAACATAGATTGGTTTTTGTTCTTCTGGTATTCTCCAACACCATAATTGAAATTCGTCAATTCTTCTATGGTCTTCATATTCATTGTCCAACTTTCTCATGCATATGAGGCTATGGAAAATACCATGGCTTAGGTCAGGCACACTTTAGACCTCAAACTGACATCTTGTGTAGCAGATTTGCCTAATGCAATATGTGGTTTGATTTCTTGACTGCTGCTTCCAAGAGTGTTGATAGTGGATCCAATCAAAAATTGCACACAATATACACTGCAAATTTAGTGTAATGAGGACTGGTTGATTGCACACCAATTGGGGAAAGATCCACTTTACTTGGATAATTGTACAAGAATATTTTTTTAAGTGACCACTTTAATTTTGAAATTAAACTTTTTGAGTGCTTGGTCTAGATATGATTTTAAGTCCTTGGGAAAAGAGAGTTGTTTTAGGAAGGCAAAGAGGCGCATAAGAGGTAGAACAATGGAACTGCCTGTGTTCCCCCAGGAAGTAGGTCTGGAGAGAGAAGAGCAGGGACCTCTTGGTTAGAGCCTGACTTGCTCCATGATGGTGGAGAAACCAAACCCTGCAGAAGCAGCCCCTAAAGCCAGAGATGAGGTCATCCCAGGAAACACAAACTGCACTAAATTTGTATTCTCCCTTTGTAGGTCTCTCTTCTACTTCTCAGCATGGGATTAATCATAAAGGGGATACAAGACAGGGAGTTTCAAGCTTGGAAAATAGCAGTAATAACCATAATAATGGCACTCACTGAACACTTGCTATGTGCCAAGCACTATATGTTTTTGTTGCTGTTAAGTGCCGTTAAGTCACAGTGACCTGGAATAGGTTTTCCAAGAATGTGAAGGTAGATGTTGTGTAGCAAAAGGAGGGGAGTGATTAAATTTGCAGTCTAGGAGCGGAGGTCCCTGGGACCATCAAGGGAGAAGAGCAGAGAGCGGGACCCTACCCAGAGAAGCAGTGACGCCAGAGATGGAGGCAGAGACTATGACGTGGAGAGATGGAGCAGC